CAACTACTTCGTTAAGAAAAGTATCAAATGTGAAATCTAAACATATCTAAAGATAAAATAAAAACAGCAGAACATATTGAATACATAAAAAAGAAAGACTATGAAAGAAATTAATGCAATACTGACCTACCTCTAGAAATAAGATGAATCACAAATAAAATAGTTTACATTTAACGGAACTATAAAAGGAAGAAAAAAAAACAGAAGTCAGAGAGGAAGTGATGTAAATTAGAGCAGAAATAAACAAAAGAAAAAGATCAGAAATGACAATCTAAAAAGTTAGTGATACCAAGAATCTGCTCTCTGAAAATAAGACAGCCCTTTATCTGGACTCACAAAGAAGAGAAAGTCCAAATAAATAAGACCAGAAACAAAGCAGTCACAACATATGCGACAGAAAAACAAGGACAGTAAGAGAGTTAAGGATTAATTATATGACAAATAATAATCAAAGTAGCATAAATGGACAAAATAGAAAAAAATATTATTCCAAGAGTGAATCAGGAAGAAATGCAGAATTGAATAGATATGTTATAAGTACAAAAATAAAATAGAAATCAAAGTCCTCTACTCTCTAAAAGAAGTCCAAAACCAGATGTTTTACTTATGATCCCTAACAAGTATCAATAACATTTAATATCTATCATTCTTATGCTCTTATATATTTGAAAAGAGTAAATATAAAAATATAATATTACACTAATTTTGAAACAGGTATGTACATCAGAAACATAATACTATAGGACAATAAATCTCATGAATGTAAATGCATCTACTCTTAACGAAATACTAGCAAAATAAAATTCAATAACACATAATGAGAATCATGCACTTTGATCAAAGTGAGAGTTATTGCAGGATGGTAGTGCAAGGATAATTCAGCATAAGAAAATAATATGGGTAATATAATACATCAAAATGAAAGGTAAAAGTCATATGATCATCTCACTGGATTAAGTCATATGATCATGTCACTTGATAAGATTCAACATTTTATTCAACATTAATAAAACTTAAAAAGTGATATGTAAAGAATGTATTTCAACATACATCCAATATAAAAAAAACCACAGACAGCATCAAATAATGAAAAACTGAAAGCTTTATATTAATAAAACAAGGATGAGTATCACTACTATTCCATAAAATGTCAGAAATACTAGGAATAGAAATTAAACAAGAAAAGGATATAAAAATGTCCCAACTGAAAAGGACAAAGTAAAATTACCACCACTTGCATTTGGCATAAAAGCATAGAAAATACCATATTTCCTTATCATGTAGTGAGAATAAAGAAATGCAGAAAAGTAAAGAGCATAGTAGCCCTAGAGAAGAAAAGGGATCAAGGCAATTGCTGTGCATGTGATACATATGTTATAAAATGAACACACAAAGACAAAAATTGGCTGTTTCTGTGTGCAAATAATGAACTGTTAGAGAAATCAGGAAGACAACATCATTTGTAATTTCATTGTAAAGAATGAAGAAAAATGGATACATTTAACCTGACAATTTGTATGTGAAAAAACTATGACAATATTGAAATATAAGATATTCCATGCTCATAAAATAGGATAATTATATGACTGAAATGGTTGTATTACTCACAGCACTATATTCAATGAAATTCATATCAAATTATACTAGAATTTTCAGTGTTAGAACAAAAATCATGCAATCTATTTGGAAGTAGAAAATACACTGAAGTAGAAAAGAGCAAAGCGATTCTCAGGAAAACAGAACACAAATGAAGGTTTTGTATCTCCAACTTTATTACAAGGTGAGTAAAGCTACATGATGCTGGATTAAAAACACATAGATCAATAGAACTGAATCAAGAATAAACAAAACCACTCATGCTTGAATAACTAATCTATGGTGGAGTTAAGAGCCTACAAGAATCAAGTATTGTCTATAAATTGATGGGAAATGAAATAATCTTATACAAATTTAACCAGTAACACTAACGCCATACCTCAAAATAATTCAAAATGGACTAAAGTCTTGGTTACAAGACCCGAATAATCAGAAGAAATAAGTAAGAGAAAATACTTGCAATGCATTCATTGACATCACTTATAGAGATTTAGTTGGAGACTCAACAATAATGGCCTGGTAAATGAAATAAATTATGAAATAAATGAAATTATATTAAGCTAAAAAGTTTCTTTAAAGCAAAATAAATCTGAATCAAAATAAAAACATTCCACTGAATTATATTTGTATATCAAATGCCTGATAAGGGGTTAATATTCCACTTTTACAAAGAAGCCATAAAAGTCAACAATAAAAAGAAGCTTATTTAAATATGATCAGAAGATCTGCTTAAATACTCTTCAAAGAAGATATACATATGGCAAAGGGAAATATATAACTACGTTAATTTTTATTAGAGAAATGCAAATAAAAACAATAATGCTAAATCACCTCATACCAATGTTAACTATTATTATACAAATAATAAGAAATAAGTATTGTAAATGATAATGCGAGAGAAGGGAGTCCTTAAACTATGCTGAGAATAAAAATTAGTGCAGTAATCATGCCAAACAGTATTGATATTGTCTCAAAAATTGTTAACAAAGTAAATTCCTGATAATTTACTTATTCACATTTGTGTAATTAGCCCTTAAAATATAGAACACTAATTCAGTGAAATGCAAATGTGCCCATTTTACTGGAAACTGTAAACAGTGTGTCCATCAGCTGAAGAATGGATAAAGATGTGATATACGTACAACTTAATACCACTCAGCTACAAAAAAATCCTTCCATTTTCGGACCCATTCTGGATGGGAGTTGCATGCTGAAAGTAGACTACAGATCAAACACAATGGCTACTCAATATCTCTTTGCAAACCACAACACCCAAAAGGAGAGAGAGAGAACAAGAGGGAATGCCCTGCCACAGAGGCTGGGGGGGGGGGCGGCGAATGAGATGGGGGTGTGGGGGTGCGGAAGGGATACTAGGATCATCAGAGGTGGAGAATGGGCACTGGTGGAGGGATGGGTACTTGAGCATTGTATGACTGAAACACAAGCATGAAAATATGCAAATGTGTAACTAACTCACAGTGATTCACTAATAAAAATATAAAAAAAAGAAAACCTAATTTATATTAAGCTCATTTCTTAACCTTTTCTCTACTGATTTCAATCTATGGGAAATAAAGAGTTTATAAATACTGTTTCTTTCTTCTCTTTTGTTACTTGTATATGAGAAAGCCATGGACTTTTGGATGTTGATTTTGTAGCTGCCACTTTACTAAACCGACCTTTTGTTTCTAGAGCTTTTCCAGAGAGTCTTTAGGGTTTTTGAAGTATAGTATCATATCATCTGCAAATAGTGATAGCTTGACCTCTTCCTTTCCTATCTGTATGCCCTTGTTAGCTTTCTCTTGCCTAACTCAATGGCCAGGACTTCCAGTTCTATACTGAATAGGAGTGGCAAAAGTGGGCAACCTTGTCTTGTGCCTGATCATAAAGGGAAGACTTTTAGTTTTTCTCCATTGAGAATGATACTTGCCATGGGCTTAACAGATGAGTGGTTAAATAAACTTTGGTACTTCTACATTGTGGAATACTATGCAGCTGTTAGGAGAGATAAATTTATGAAATTTGCTTATAAATGGATAGACATGTAGAGTATCAAGCTAAGTGAAATGATTCAGAAAGAGAGGGACAGACATAGAAGGACTGCACTTATTTGTGGAGTATAAAACAACATAACATGAGGCTGACACCTAAGGATAGTAGATACACAGGATAGGAAGATTGCTCCAGAGCTGGAAGTCTGCCTCATGAGCAAAAGGAAGAAAGCAGCTGGAATAGAGAAGGGATCACTAAGAAAATGATGGCCTGAAAAACTGGTCAGGAGATGTGTGCTGAAAGTAGATAATGAACCAAACATGATAACCTCTCAGTATCTGCACTGCAAACCATAATGTCCACAAGTAGAGAGAGAATATGGAGAATATTGTCTGCCATGGAGACAGGGAGAGGGTGGGTAAGGGGGGCGTATACCCGGGATATTGGTGGTGGGAAATGTGCACTGGTGGAGGGATGGGTATTTGATCATTGTGTGACTGCAACCCAAACATGAAAGCTTGTAACTATCAAATGGTGATTCAATAAAATTTAAAGAAAAAAAAGTATATAAATACCAGAAAAAATCCTTTCATTTTCAATAACTAAGATGGCCTTTCTTTAAAAGCATGAGTTTTAGGTAAATGAGCTAGATGGAGAAGTTCTAATATCACATAGTTCTCCTCCTCATCTGCTTATTATTGTTCAACTCAGATCGATTCACATGACCTCTTCTAGGACCCCAAAATATCCCTAAGGGGTCAAGGTGAAAACTGCAAAATTGGGAGTCAGTCATGGCATATGTCTAGAGGATTAACCAGTTAGACAGGGCAGGGGGTGGAAGGAAACAAGTTAGGAAAGGGGCTACAGTTGGCAAAAGGTTGAGAAACACTGGGGGATAGGGAGAGAGGAAAAAGGGAACAATAGACAATCACTAAAAAAAACACCCCCCAAATTAATTTTGGACTCTTAAGACTGATGGGTGAATATCAGAAGGGATGGGACGTGGGTAAATGGAGACAAAGACAACAAATGTTTGAGATGGACAGAATTTGACTAGAAGTAAACTTAACCTAGCACAAACACCTGTGGGCTTTCAAAGATGCACACCAAAATTTATACAGTCTTCTGAAACAATGTTACCATAATAGCAAACTTTTCTACTACTGTGTGATTCTCATTTAATTTGATAGATGTAAGACTAAATAATTTTATATTTTTCATTTTGTGAATGTGATTAAGCTGTCAAAAGGTCAAAATTCTGCATTATTGCAACAGTGGTTATATTTTTCTAAAAATACCATTCATTGAAGATAGTCACTTAGAAATTACCATTAAATTACCTGTACTTTGAGGTAAAATGTGGTAAAAGACATAGATAAGGACTTTATAAATTTTGAAAAAAGAAGACTTACTGCTTTTTCTTTCCCAGATTCCACCTGTTCAGGCTTTGCTGTACATATTTCCTGAGGCTGTTCTTTCATTTTTTGAATAGACTCATCATCTTCCTTAGAGGAAATCTGAGGCAAGTCAGAGGGTACATCTTCCATCTTGGTTGGGGGTTGTTCTGCTTCTTCCACTGACCTTGAAGATATTCTGTCTTCAGGCATTTCTTTGGCAGTCTGTACTAGAGTTTTCAGTAAATCAGGTTTCTGCTCCTCCTCTAGAGCAGAGATTTTGACTCCTGATGGTAGCTTTTTATCCTCAAGTACAGTTGTTTTGTCTTTAGAGGTTGGTTTTTTATCTTCAAGGATTTCCCGCTTTTCTTCTGGCAGTGGCATTTTGTCTTCAAAGGAAGGCATTTTGTCTTCTGGTGTTGGCTTTTTATCTTCAAGGATTGCCCCTTTTTCTTCTTGCAGAGACTTTTTGTCCTCAAGGAGAGGCTTTTTGTCTTTAGGAGTTGGCTTTTTCTCTTCAAGGATGGCCCCCTTTTCCTCTTGTGGTGGCTTTTTGTCATCAAGGGGAGGCTTTTTGTCTTTAGGAGCTGGCTTTTTTTCTTCAAAGGCTGCCATTTTTTCTTCTGGCAGTGCCTTTTTTTCTTCAACAGGAGGCCTTTTGTCTTTAGGAGTTGGCTTTTTTTCTTGAGGAGGTACCTTTTTTTCCTCTGATGGTGGCTTTTTGTCCTCAATTGGGGCTGCCTTTTCTTGCTGAGTTTGCTTTTTTTCTTCAATGGGTGGTGGCTTTTTTTCTTCTGAGAGTGACTTTTTGTCTTCTGGAAGTGGCTTTTTTTCTTGAGGTGCTGAAGTCTTATCTTTCTCTACTTTACTCTCTTGTTTTTTATCTGTGGCTACTTTAGGGGAAATTTTTTCAATCAAAGTGGTTTCTTTTCCTTTATCTGGTATGGTTTTCTCAGCATCTAATTTTACTTCTTGTTCCTTCTTTTTCACTTTCATTTGAGCAGGGGTTGTTATTTTCTGAGAAGGTTGTTCTGTTGAGACAGGCATAGGAGCTGCTTTTGGTCCTGGCTGTGTAGATAGCATTTTCCCCATGTCTCCAAGCTGTCCTGACATTGCTCTCTGGGTTTGGCAATTTAAGCAAAGCCATTCTTGTATCTGCAAATAAAATAGTATTGGACATATTAACTATGTTATAATGTATATGTTTTAGTACATTTACCAAATAAGAATTTGGGGATTTCTAGTAGCTTTTTCTTTAAAATATAAGTAGTTTCCAGAAGTAATTTTCTAAAAAAAAAATGTAATAATGATGTTGAAAGAAGATTGCAACATGACTATTTGTATTTTAAAAATCTGAGAAATCATTAAAGATGAGCAATTCATCAACCTTACCATGAAAAAATATAGAACTGCTTTAAATATAAAGGTAAAGGAATATATTAGAGATGGAACGACGGAAATACCTAGGGGAGGTTTTGGAGAAAATATGCATTTTATTAAAATAAGATATCTTAAAATTTGATACCTTTAAACTTAGTTCTATAATTTTGCATGCATTTTTTCAAAATGATTTATCATTTATAAAAATAATTGTATTTTATATTAATTTTCTTTCAGCAAATAATAAATTTAAAAGTCCTTTTAGGATTTAGCCTATTATCTGTTCTTCTTGACATGTGTTGAATATATTTCTATTCTCCAGAGTAGAATAAGGTATATTTAATATAAAAACAATTTGATTTTTAATAACACTAACAGTTTTCATGTCACTGAGCAAAAAGAGCATTCATAGGTTTAAATTACTTTTTGATCTTATATTCCTTAGAGTTTTCTCAACTACTTACTGAAATAGTTCTATTTATTTCTATGCCAGTATGATATATAGGTCACCCACAACAAATTAACTGAGTTGGTCCTGAGACATGTAAATTCAAAATATAGACAGGGAAGAAGAGCTGATTTTTTACATAAATTTTGGGTAATTATGTTGCTAATTATAAACTGAATATCACTCTTTCATAACTCATGAAAAGGAATCATACAAGATAGATTATTTTGGACTATTAATATTAAATAATTTCTCCTTTGCTGTTTGTTTTTAATACTTTATGTAAAATATAAACTTTGCACAAGTTTCTTTAAATTGCTACCATTTATTGGTTACAAATTCTGCAAGGATAAAGTGGCTGGTTTTGGTCATAAAATAGTATTACATTTACATGCTGCATTCTCTTCTAAAAATTCTATTTGAAATTCGTTTTCATAGATCACCTTTTCCAGTTGTGTCACTTATTTATATATGAAAATTGATTATTGTAGACTATTTTCAGAGATCTAAGATTTTTATAAAAATTGAGCTTGTTAATAATAATAATAAGTTTGTAATCTTTAATCCATTATCATTTGTAATGCTAATCACAAAAAGATAAATGTTAATTATTTTTCTATGATAAAACTTTCTATAAAACATTAGTATATATTATATGTTCATTTACTTTTCTCCTGCATAGTCATCCACTACTAAGTTTTTAATTTTGTCTAATCAGCTGTAAGTTAATTTTTGGCTTCCTTAAATTTTATAAAAATCTAAGGGAACAGAGGCCAGAGAGACAGTAAGGTGGTTGCCTCGCACATGGCCAATTTCAGTTTGATCCTCAGCACAGTATATGGTGCCCCCAAGTCCCACCAGAAGTGACCCCTGAGCACAGAGACAGGAGTAAGCACTGAGCATACCCAGGAGTGGCCCCAACACCCATGACCCTGCATCCAAAAAATTTTGGGAAATAAACTAATTTGTTCCATTAAGTAAAGGGTTCTGGCGCTTGTGTTAAATGAGGAAGTGCTTTCACAACACCTACAGAAAATCAATCTTGATCTGTGCTGATGTCTTAAGAAACATTTCTTGGCTAAGCCATATTTAGGATATTTTCATTCACAACCTGGCATTTCAGAAAACAAAACAGATGCAAATAGCTGTATCACTGGGTTATTTTGTCATACTCAGTTTAAAAAACAAATGCAGGTGTATATTCATCATTCCCAACAAGACATGTCCGAATGTAAATGAGTTAGGGAGTTTTTTGTTTAGCTTTTGGGGTCACACCTGGCGATACTCAGGGGTCACTCCTGGCTCTGCACTCAGGAACCACTCCTGGTGGTGCTCAAGGGACCATATGGGATGCTGGGATTCGAACCTGGATTGGCCGCGTGCAAGGCAAACGCCCTACCTGCTGTGCAATCACTCCAGCCCTGAGTTGGGAGTTTTTTAATATACCAGGATACTGACTCGCCCATTGACCTTAGAATAGCCTCTTGAAGGTTTTCATGCCTTATCAAGTACAGATACTGAAGATCAAACAGCACTAATAGTTAACAGGGGGAAGATTACTCAAATACCAGGTCCTATTGTCAGACTACCCTGAAATAATCCTTAAATCCTATTAAAAATCTAAGGCCTACAACTTTACTTTATAAGAGTGACATAAAAAGAGACTGAGACATTCTTGTACTAGGATAACAGAACAAGTTTATTTTAGCAGACCTGGTTTAAAGGACCCATTCCAAATCCTAATACTTATTAATAGGAGAAATTTTGTTCAAAATGGACAAAGTCAGGCAGCCTACACAGTCATAAATCTATGTGAAAAAAAGTTAAAGCTTATGCTTTGTACTGAATTTAACGACTAAACTCACAGCATTAATTCAAACTTTACAACGGTGACAGAATAAAAGATAAAATATACTGATTTAAAATATGCTTTCCTCAAATTGCATTCACATACTTCTTTTGGGAGGATATATGATTACTTACAACCAATACTTCCCATAAAATATCATAATGAAATCTTTTTTTTTCTGACTACATTATTTTACTTTTTTAATGCAATGTCTTTGGGTTAGGTTAAGCTGTTAAATATATGTATGAACATGTTCACTCATGTCTACCCTAGACTAAACCAACTTTTTCTATACATCAACCCAAAAGAGAATCAGGTAAACTGAGTAGTACTCAAAACTCTTCTACATCAAGCTCAACCTCTATAGCCCAATATGCTGACTTTTCCAGTACTTTTAACAACTCCATCACCTATCAAATTGTCAGACCATCCATCCGAGACACAGTGGTGTCATATAAACTAAAGTTCCTCAGCTCTGGAGTGTTTGGAAACTCCATGCAACAATGGGGAGTATGAATCAGTGAACCAGTGAAAGATTTCACACTTCTAAAATAGTATCCTACATGAGATGATTGAATATCCAACATTTCCTCACTATATTTGGGCCCCAATTCTGGGCATATTCTGCCTAGCATCTGGACTCTAACCCCATTTATTACCTATGGCACATTTTAAATATTTAATCTTCTATGCCTGTCAACATTGTACTTGAATCTTCAATAAAACTCACCTCAACTCAACATAATAAAGCCCATATAATCCTTATGACCTTATAACCATACTCCTTCAATTTATTAGTCATTGAAGCCCTTCTGCCTATGCCCTGTCTCCCAACTTGCCTAAATAAACTTTAGACCCTTGTTGATTTCTCCTGAATTGTCTACTAGTTGAGGCTTCATAAGAAACCTTCCAAGATTTTACTGTCAAAATTTGTTTTTATTATTCTGAATACTTCTTTTCATCTCTTTCTAAATATTTTCCATCCCAAGTTGTCATGTTGGTTTCATAAATTCCATAGAGAGAGCTCTATATTTACCTTCAGAAAGAAGCAAATACAGGAGATAAATATTTGTTTAATTTCAAAAATATTATTGCCCTTGCAGTTAAAGGGAGGGAATGGTGGTTCTGATTCCATTATTCAGAAGAAATAAATAATAGCTCTCTTCCATTGTTCAAAAGTGATAAATAATTTTTGGATCCTTCAATTTATTAGTCATGGAAGCACTTCTGCCTATTCCTTTATCTCCTAGGTTGCCTAGTTAATTTTCTGATGCTTGGTGATTTCATTTATATGATAAATGAATAATGTAAAAGATATATTTTAATATATTAATATATATTTTCAATATATTATAGATTAAATAGTGACAGAAAGTAATCTTCCTGAATTAAAATTTAGCTAAAATAAGGCTCATGAACTGGGGAGGTAGCTTGAAAGGCTGGAAACATGTCTGCCATGCAGACATCCTCATACGCTCAGCAAGGTTCCACAACTATTACAAGGTCCCACAATTCACAAGCAGAGGACCTGGTAAGCTTTGCATGGTCCCACAACCACTGCCAGTGTGGCCTACCAGTGCCAAGTACTGCTGGGTCTGCGTATCACTGGGCAGAGTACTGCCATGGGAACCCAAGCAATGCTTAGGAGATACCCAATAAAAGAATGCTTTGTAAGTCTACACGCAGTGTTAAATTACATACTACCAGGGCCTATAATGGAGAGATAGTGATGTAGGCAGGTAGATAGGGAAAGGCTCTCTGCAATGAAACAAAGTCTCATAGAAGAATTCTAGGACCAACCCACCCTGTGGAGACAGAGAATAAGGACTTGATAAGACCATCCCCAGACCCTGAAGATATGGGCCTCCTCCTCATGAAATTCCTCCTTTCCAGCGACCCAGCCCCAAGGAGATTCCAGGACATTCCAAGTCAGATGATTCTCGAACCCCTTTTCAATCCGGTTGACTCCAGCGACACAGCCCCAAGGAGATTCCAGAACGTTCTGAGTCAGAAGGATCTATAAGAACCAGCTCGAGAGCCCACTTGGCGCTCTCTCCACCCTCGGAGAAGCCCGCGTTCCCTCTGGACGCGTTACTCTCTCTCTTTTACTCTCCATTCCCCCGCTTATCTGCCTATCCCTTCCTCTTCCTCTCCAAAAGCCTCCAAATAAAACCTGTTACTTCACTGCTCGTCTACTCCTGAAATTCTTTTTCTGCGAGCGAGACAAGAACCCCAGAAACCTCGGGTAAGGCTTGGGACTGGTCTCTCCTTTCCTGCAAAGAGCAAATTCTCGCCCCAGCTTGAGTCCGTGGCTCCCCGAGCAATCGGGTGGCGGGGATTAACTCCCGTGCCGAGAAGATCAAGCGGACTTCAGGTGTGGCTTGACGGCCACCTTGTGGGGCTGGCGGGGCTCAGGCCCGTGCCGAGCAGGTGCTCACTGCAGACTTTACCGGTCCTAGCCTACCCAGGGTTCCGGGT